TCACAGACTGTGGCTTCTGCAGTGTCATAAAAACACTCACAGCCCTCGTATTGTCTTAAAATTCTCAGACGCTCAGCAAAAATGAAACAGCGTTAGCATTTACATTTAACATGTTGTGGGGTTTTTTTTTGGCCGACACTAAATGTAAAACCTTCTTTTATGTCGGATAGCAAGGCTGTCGGATTGTCAAGACGGAGGTCGAGATACAAGGAGGGCTTGATGCTTGAAGGCTCATTTGTTGTTAATATTTATTGTTTATAGTTGTTTTAATAACCAGTGTATTGTTAGAACACTGCACATCGCTGGATTTCATGTCTAATTGACCGGTGCGCTTGTGCACGGGTCCATCAAAGGTAAATATGTTCAGACGGCAGGTAAAGTGATCCAAATACGATTTTTTTGCCCCTATGCGACCTGTATCTGGTCGTTTCATGACAGTCTGAACAACACAGATCCAATTAATGATGAATATCTGAATATTTGGCACAGTCGGGGGGAACCACTTCCACGGCGGGGCAGCGCTCTGACACTTAGCTGCTGATGCTCGTATAGGATAGCAGTCAGAGTTCTGTTTCCACCATCGGTGGCGGGGCCGGGGCGTTACCATCCATGTTTACTTCCGTAAACACTGAGCATGCTCGTGACATTGTCGTGCCCTCTTTTGCACATGCGGGACACTTTTGGGTCGTATGAAGTTCACACAGCAGATCACATACAAGTCGCATTTAGTTGGAAATATGAACGAACTCACAAAAAACCAAAACAGATTTCACATAAAAATCCGAATTGAGCATTAAGTCCTGCAGTCTGAACGTAGCCAATCTGTCGGATTGTTTAGTCAGATAATACGCTGTTATCCAAAATGTCACGTCGGAGTGGGAATCCAAGACTGTCGGTATGTTCAGGCTATTTTTCATAGGTCCAGTTTTCATAAAAACCTGTCAGATAGCAGGGTTGTCGGATTGTTAAGGGTCGGAATGTTAAGTCACGACCATAGACTGTATAAAAGATGGACGTAGCTACCGTGACGTCACCCGTTGGTTTCTGCACTGAGAAAATGAAGCCAG